TATCCTCTAACTGTAGGATCATTATCCTCTAACTGTAGGGTCCCTTATCCTCTAACTGTAGGATCATTATCCTCTAACTGTAGGATCATTATCCTCTAACTGTAGGGTCCCTTATCCTCTAACTGTAGAGTCTATTATCCTCTAACTGTAGGATCATTATCCTCTAACTGTAGGGTCCCTTATCCTCTAACTGTAGAGTCTATTATCCTCTAACTGTAGGATCATTATCCTCTAACTGTAGGGTCCCTTATCCTCTAACTGTAGGATCATTATCCTCTAACTGTAGGATCATTATCCTCTAACTGTAGGGTCCCTTATCCTCTAACTGTAGGATCATTATCCTCTAACTGTAGGGTCCCTTATCCTCTAACTGTAGGATTATTATCCTCTAACTGTAGGATCATTATCCTCTAACTGTAGGGTCCCTTATCCTCTAACTGTAGAGTCTATTATCCTTTAACTGTAGGGTCCCTTATCCTCTAACTGTAGGATCATTATCCTCTAACTGTAGGATCATTATCCTTTAACTATAGGGTCCCTTATCCTCTAACTGTAGAGTCTATTATCCTTTAACTGTAGGGTCCCTTATCCTCTAACTGTAGAGTCTATTATCCTCTAACTATAGGGTCCCTTATCCTCTAACTGTAGAGTCTATTACCCTTTAACTGTAGGGTCCCTTATCCTCTAACTATAGGGTCCCTTATCCTCTAACAGTAGGGCCCATTTTCCTCTTCTTGCTGTTGGACCTATTATCCTCTAAATTATCCTCCAACTGTTTGGACTACCAAAACTATCTTCTTCTGAAGATGTTACAAGGATGTCAGTTAGAAACACTTTACAAAAACCTCCCATTAATTGTATCTACTTGTGATACATGAAAAAAGACTGTGTGACAATTTCTCATAAAGATCAACATTATGATGATTGGACCTGCTTTTCCTGTGCAATTCCGTCAGACAAATGACCAATGATAATGGTGTCACACGTTTTTCATAATTCAACAAGACGCCCCGTTACAACATGATCTGATCAGGCTACGATCCCATGATTAGTTGGTGTATTGATTAGATAAAAGATTTCGTCATTTCTTGTCACAGTGATCCGTATAAGAATGTAGGATTTCTCATCTCTGGGTCTCAATCTTGAGGGTGACTTGCTCATGACAAATGATGCCCTTGGTGGAGATGTTTAGCTCCATATAAGGGACTCAAGATGATAGAAAATAAGTACTGGAATTTGACAGCAAGGTTATAATAGGAGAGATACACAGAGGGCACATTAATTCTTCCTATACTTATTGCTACAATTGTGACCTATCCCTCCAATCATATCTTCACCCTTGTCTGCACTAACCAATCAGATCTGGCCTTTAGCTGCACTTGTACATCCTCCATGATTTAAAATGTTGAATAAGATTTTAATAAAATTGATAGATAAACATAATTTATAACAATGTTATATAAAATTTTGCTGATTAATCAACATGTAAAAGTTTATATAAAAAAACAAAAACATACCTGTTACTGTTTTACCTTTCATCAAGTAGCTGATTCTATTTAATGTGAGGCCAATTAATGTCAATATGTAACATTTATTTATGTTTTTTATCTATTGTTGTATGTAAGAATTACCAAATTCTGTCAATTTAAAACAAAAGTTGAGAATCAGGAAATGTTAATTTATACGTTTAACAACAGAACAGCATATCTGTGGAGTTCTGCATGTGTTTCAAGTTACCGATACCTAATGATTGCTCTTATCAGCTCATCAAGAATATTCACAATCATGGGAAAAATTTAGTAGAGATATCAGTTCCTGACATGGATTTTCATGACGGACATCTTTAGAGAATATTTTACAAAACAGTAGGCAAATTAATCCATTGTGGATGATGTTTTAGACAGGGTGAAGAATATAGGATCATTCCACAATAAAAGCCTTCCGAATGTCTGGTAATTGATTGAAATTATGTGTAAAGGTTGTGGTGCTTCATCAATAGGCAAGTTTCCTCTTGTACAGATATAACAATGGAACCTTCAGCAGGAATCCACGGAAGGAATCGGTTACAGTTTCCTTGAAGACAAATAACCAATTTACATTGCCGCTAATCACAAGGAAAAGCAGAGGATGTATAGAAAATGAAGCAGGATCTATTACAGGAGATTCAGTGCACATGCAGCCCATCATCAAATCATCGAAGGCCTTCATACTATTTAAAATTCAAAACAGGTACTCCTAGATACCAGTCCTTTAAGAAAAATAATTTTTCCAGTCGGATATGGTGCCGAGTGGGAACACAGGACCTGACAGCTAATTGACACAAATGTAAAGATTGCAGTATGCCCATTAGTCAATTAGATATGTGTGCTGGGGATACAGGTGCTGGTCGCGGTACCCCATTACAAACTGTGGTGCCATAGAGATTTGGCACTCACTAGATTCTCGGCACCACCCAACTTGCCAACTCCTGACTGGTTTGGAATTCAACTTCTCTACAAATTTACGTCTCTATAAATTGCTATTGACTTTTATTGTGATAATCAACAATTTCTGTAATATTTAATTTTCCAAGTTTTAATTTGTTGGACAGTCTGATTGGGTGAATTGGGATGGGGTCAACATCTGTGATAAAATCTACTGCTGACTGTTAATATTTAGTAGTGACAAGCAACAAAACATCAAAATCTTTTGCTATATTCTACAAAGAAACTATCTTTTCTAACAAATTACATTTTTCACAAATTTAATTCTATTTATTTCATTATTTCAAAACGACAGATTTCATCCTGATTTTAGAAAATGCCTTGTTAAATTCTTTCTAAAAGTATACGTCAGTATGTTATAACCTTCATAACACAATAACATGTACAGCAAATATTTTCTTCTTCTTGTCTAATCATCAATTAATTACCTCACATGATGTAAATTCATCACACTTTTACAAGGGCTATTTCATCAAATTCATAATTATTGTCATGTGAGAAATGACCAAGATTTTTCATTCTGGTTACTTCATATATGTAAAAAGTAAACAATCTAATAAGTTTAAAAGGGGAAAAAATTAAAAAAAAAAATTATTAGGGAAATTACCAGTTATTTATAAATTGTTGTGAAAAAACCCAAGTGTGAAAAATTATTGGTATGACAAATGTTTTTTACCAGAAATAAAGTTGCAACATTATATCTCAAATGGCTTTTGCTATGTGAAAATCTATAATTAGAAATTGATTCAATTTTTGATTTTGTTACTGATATAACATACATTGCTTGATGAATAAGTACGGATGTTATCACATAAATGTTGAGAATATTACAACTTCAGCTTAAATTCCTACTATAGAAATTTCATCAATTTAAGAAAAATTAAAATCGTTTTCAATTAGAAATAATAAAAGTATTTTTACTGAACTAGTTAACCATTAAGGAGACTGTTGTCAGAAAATGTTATATCACTTTTATTAATGAAATTTGATTAGAAATATTAACATTTGATTGTCTAATAAAGAGTTTAGAATAATGAGCTTATAGACACACTTAAGGTGATATAAATTAACTATATCAATGCTATACCTAATGATTTATTCACAAACCACACAAGGGAATATCAAAGTTAATGCTATCCAATAAACATCTGTGTTTTACCCTACAAGCTCTGTTAGGTTATCACACTCCTACGTAGACATTTTTTCCTAAAAAATGTATTATCAGCTGTAAGTATCAACATGTTATGAAAATTTGTCTTATAACAACTGTTTTGAATCCCAAGTTAAAAATCTTATATAAAATAAACAATTTATGGAGAATATTCCTGCAGAGAAGACAAAAGGCTAAAGAGAACAGCTGGTTGATGCTACATGTGGAGGATTGAGAGGTGAAGAGCACCATAATGAAGTTTATGAATTAGCTCCTCAGTAATATCACTCTATATCATCAGGAGAAAGATTTCTCCTAAAGCAATTGGCGATCAGATTACACAGCACACCATACAAACGCAGAAAGGCAGCAGTGGAGGATCTCAGTCCTACTGTAAAACTCCTGTGGTCTAGGGAGAGTCCCCAAACTGAGGGAATGTCTCAAGGGATCATTAATCTCCCTTTGATATGGGGACACTGAAGCAAGAGTCCTCTGGGGCCAATTCATGTCCAAGTCTGTTTGCTTCTGTAGCTTTGTGAAGGATATAGGAGGGGGATCATGGAGTGGGAGGGGGATTGTGGTGGAGTGGGAAACAGAATGTAACAGTGAAGTGTAGGAAGGCTTTGTTTAACTGACAGGAGCTGATCCCTAATGGGAGGTATTCAAAGTTTATACACACAAGATTATATAGTTTTGGTCCATGGGCTCAGTATTCTGTCAGGAAGAATCACAAGGATTATAACTCTGTAAGGGACTGAAATAAAGGGCCATTCTAATACAGTAAGTACAGTAAGTAGTGTTGTGTTTTCCTCCATCAGTTCTCCAGTTTTACATACACATTAAAAAACACATGTTTTTAAAGACCTAGCAAAGCAGAACTAGAGTCCAATGCAATTAAAAAATCGAGGTTATTCTACCAGAAATGGAAGAGCTGTTAGTGAAGATTATATCTCCAGTTAATAAAGCAATAATAAATTTTGTCAGTGATTTTTAAAATATCAGGGATAAATATAAATTATTTATCATTTAGAATAAGACACATAGTAACAAATACAGATATTCAAAAGAATTAATGATTATCATTAAACGCTTGAGAATTTGGGTAATAAAGTGTAAAAATTTGTTCAATATTTAATAGGATAATGACTTTACAAATTTTGTTCTTTTTTTTATGAAAAAGGAAAAACAGATGTAGTTTGTCAAGATTTATTTAAAAAAATATATATTTTTTTTTTCCCTTGTTTTTTTTGTTTATATAATTGCTAAAGTTAAATGTAAGTCATCAGAAAAGAAGAAAAGAATTGATTATATGTTCATACAAGCTAAAAATGACTAAAAGAAATAAGAAATAAAAAGTTGGCACTTACCATGAGCGACCCAGCCATGCTTGCAGGAATCACATGCTCGTATGTGTACCTTGCCAGGTGAAAAACATTCACAAGGGCAGTTAGGTAGGGTACAGCGTATAGCCTGAAAACACAACCGTGGAATACCAGAGTTAGCAGTGCTGGCAATAAAGTGAAGGACACGATGATATTGGTCACTTTTTGACAGATTAAGTATGGGTGGTTGGACGTTGGTCAGCGACTTTTTGTCCGTCATACTCAACAGGTGAATGGCATAGGTTCCACACCACTAATTAATGATGTGCTTCACTAATTGTAATCTGTAATAACAGTCAATACTATCATTCTTCAGACAGTCCCAATGTGATGATAACTACTTGAATCCCTTGAGGTTGTTGAGCGAATTTTGTCATTGTCACAAGATCAAGTGTCACTTCTGCGATCAGCTGACATTTAAAAGAAAAAAATCTTTGATTTCTGCAAATCACAGTTGATCTGATTATGAAAATAACCCTATAATTTCCTTAATTTCCTTTCCACAATTCTCCAGGAAAAAAAAAGATAAAATAAATTGATGTGTTTCTTCAATATAAAATCAATGCCACATTTTAAAAACTTTAAACTGGGTCTGTGTAACAGATAAGACTTAAACCCGGAGGGGTGTTCAACAATTCACCACTGTCGTAGTCTTAATCCATGATGGAATCAAATTCTAATCCCCAATAAAAGTCAGGCTGATTGTGTTAAAACTTCCTGAAAGTCTGTCGCAGTAAGACATGGACTGTCAGAGCGATCAGCCTCTGGACCGGTCCCAGCTGAGGCAAGGTAACGTTTGTTGTTACTCTTACAGGGAAGTGCACACACAACACACACAAGTTCAGAAAAAAAAATTGGCTTTCATTCATCGGAGCATTATAGGTCCCATATGACTGTAACAGGAGGCTCTGGTACCCCTGGTCGGACACAGGAGCCAGAGAACAGGAGAGAGGTATCAAGGAATGACAGATCGCCTGATGGAGATGAGACTAGAGACGGAGCCTGTTGATTGGCAGTGGGGCTGTGTTGGAAGAGGGACAGTGATTTATCATAGCCCAATACAAGCACAATCAACACACAATGGACTATGCCCACACAACTCCTGCCTGAAGATCTTAAACAGGGCCTGATGGGATTACACTGTCTTTCTCCCATATACGACTTCTGGTTAATGGGTGTCTGATACTAGGATATCTACATAGATATAATATATAACGGGTCATCCACACTGGGGTATCTATATAGTCTATATCATGGGTAATTGAAATTGGGATATATCACAGGTCACTGACAGTTTCTATACAGATCTATATCATGAAACACTGACCCTGGGATATATCTATATAGATCTTTATCATGGGACAAAAAGTCTAGAATATATAGTAGATCTATATCATGCTTATTGACACTGAGATAAATCAATGCATATCATGGATCACTGACACTTGGAAACTTATACAGAAATATATCACATATCACAGATTAATTAAACTTTGATATCTATATAAATCTATATCGCATGTCACTGATGCTTGGATATCTTTATATATCTATAACATGTGACACTGGGATATCTATTTATATCTCTGTTGTGTTCACTAACACTGAGATATCTATAAATATCTCTATCCAGTTCACTAACACTGAGATATCTATAAATATCTCTATCCAGTTCACTAACACTGAGATATCTATAAATATCTCTATCATGTTCACTACCACTGAGATATCTATAAATATCTCTATCATGTTCACTAACACTGAGATATCTATAAATATCTCTATCCAGTTCACTAACACTGAGATATCTATAAATATCTCTATCCAGTTCACTACCACTGAGATATCTATAAATATCTCTATCCAGTTCACTACCACTGAGATATCTATAAATATCTCTATCCAGTTCACTAACACTGAGATATCTATAAATATCTCTATCCAGTTCACTATCACTGAGATATCTATAAATATCTCTATCCAGTTCACTAACACTGAGATATCTATAAATATCTCTATCCAGTTCACTAACACTGATATATCTATAAATATCTCTATCATGTTCACTATCACTGAGCTATCTATAAATATCTCTATCCAGTTCACTAACACTGAGATATCTATAAATATCTCTATCATGTTCACTAACACTGAGATATCTATAAATATCTCTATCCAGTTCACTAACACTGAGATATCTATAAATATCTCTATCCAGTTCACTACCACTGAGATATCTATAAATATCTCTATCCAGTTCACTACCACTGAGATATCTATAAATATCTCTATCCAGTTCACTAACACTGAGATATCTATAAATATCTCTATCCAGTTCACTACCACTGAGATATCTATAAATATCTCTATCCAGTTCACTACCACTGAGATATCTATAAATATCTCTCTCATGTTCACTATCACTGATATATCTGTAAAGTTTTAGTCTTGAGAATGTTACTGCTTTTTCTAATTTCTGATTTTCAAAATTTTTTTTTTTATTTTTTGGGGTGGGGTGGGGGGTTTGGGGGTAATCTATACTATAGAGTTTGGACATGTTATATCCATGTTATATCAATAAGCTCTCTTAAAAATTCTTGTATCTTCCTGGGCTTACTATTCACATTTAAAAAGCTAAACACATGTTTTTGTTTTAAAAAGAATCAGCTGTACCTAAATTCCTTTTTTATTTAAAAACTGCAGGGCTTATTGCCCTGGGGCTAGTGACATGGGGGTTTTGATCGCCCACTAAACCTCTACAACCCTCATATGTGCACATTCACATGAGCATCTGCATCAAAATGTTTTTTTTTTTTATTCTACGGTAGTTTTGACACATACTTCATTTCAAACCTAGCCCTAGCTGTTAGTGGGGGAGATGTTAGTGATAACACCTAGGGCTAGCAAATCTCTTTGTGTCTTGGGAGAAAAACTCAAATAGCATACAAGTCAACATCTGCTTGATAAAGCGTCCCATGCAGAATTCACATCGTTCTTCTAATGCTTTCATTGAGATAAGTTTAAGAATGGAACCAATTTTTACTCATCTCTTTTCTTTTCAATAAAATACAACTTCATCACATATGCAGTAATAAGCAATACTTGTTTTGGTTCACATTTTGTCATAAATTCAATAATCTTATGATGAAATTAGGAAAAAAAATCGTTTTTGAAAACATATGAATTTATGAAGTTGGTTTTATTAAAACATAAACTGAAGTAAGCATACTCACAATTTTCAATTCTTTACATGAAATCCTTGTTGTATGAAGCTAATTCCTATTGATGTTAGTGATCCTAATTACAGTGCTCTCCAGACATTAGCACCCTATATATTAACGCATGCCCACGATCCTACACACAACATATGTATGTTCATATTCATGTATATAGCCAACTAACCAATACAAAACCAAATCAGAGCTGATCTCACACATTCAAACTTCTAACATCAAAATAAAAATATTCCAGCCTTATATATTTGTTTTACTGGGAGCCTTATTGAACTCTATTTCAGAATCGGGGCTAGCTGTAGGATTCTTTAAAAGCTATGGAGTGGATCGAATCTGAAAATATATCTATCTGTAAGAGTTTAAACCAGCCTTTTATCACAGAAGTGAAGCTTAATCAATTGATTAGGTAACTGTTTTCACTACCAAAGCAGTTATCATCATACACCAACATCATTTACAATGTTATAGGTACAGATATAAGGGTAATATACTTCTTGTACCTAATTATTGTGAGGGGGCTACAGCCCCTAGTGGACATCAATTACAGGGGCAAATTACAGGTTTTTCTTCAAGGCAGATTGGAAGTGTCAATATTGACAGTAAGTCCCTGTAGTTAGAGGTTAGGTATTGTGGGGATCATTAACTAATACAATAGGAATCATAAAAAAAGGTGACAACTATATGCTCCCGATGGAAATTTTCTGGTAGCATAAAAAACAATAGAATTGGAATGTTACATGAGATGATGGGGACAGGAAAACAATGAAATTGGGAAGATAATGAATACAATAGGAATGGGAAACAATATGATTAGGAACAATTATTGATACAGTGGGGATGGGGAACAATGTAATTAGGAACAATTATTGATACAATGGGGATGGGGAACAATGTAATTAGGAACAATTATTGATACGGTGGGGATGGGGAACAATGTAATTAGGAACAATTATTAATACCAGGGCTCTCGATCTGCCAGATTTGGGGCCGAATACCCAATGCAAAAAAGTATCTTTTTCCCCCAATTTAGACCCCAAGTTTTCCCAATTCTAAGGAAAACACTGCTATTTTTCCCAATTCTAAGGGCCCCAGGCCCCAGTCCCAAAATAGGGTGTGAGAGCCCTGAATACAGTGGGGATGGGATATAACATAAATGGGATTTATAGTTAATTCAATGGAGACAGGAAAACAATAGGACTGGAAAACTAATTAATACAGAGAACAATACGCGTTCATAAATATAAAGTTTATAGGAAAATTCATTACTAAAACTGTTCATTTCTTTCAGTTCTATAGTAAATCTCAATAATTCTTAAAAGCTTTCATCGTTCAATTAATCAATGATTGTGACTGACAAACCATGATCATGCAATCAAAAATCACAGGAAAACCAATCAATTATTGAATAGATTGATTAATCTGAACAACACTAACGTAACCTGGGGTATTTCATGTGAAAGAACCACTCGTACCCTGTTATTCACTGAACTTATGAGTGTGACACATTGTCCCATTTCCATTTCCCAAAGTACCAGTGTCTGAAATAAATTAAACCACTTCTTGCTACAATACCTTAAAACTTTCTCAGTCCCCACGATTAGCAACTAATTATGTCAACTATCGCCATTGAAAAACCATACACAAAAGTATCTACAGTCCTGACCAGAGCCTCAACAATTAACTTTTCACAAGTATGTCACCCCACCATACACAAAAGTATCTACAGTCCTGACCACAGCCTCAACAGTTAACTTTTCACAAGTTTGTCACCCCACCATACACAAAAGTATCTACAGTCCTGACCAGAGCCTCAACAGTTAACTTTTCACAAGTATGTCACCCCGTCATACACAAA